ATCATGAAGATAAATTAACAATAAAATGAGTCTCACTCATACATCCACCGCCTACTTTAGCGAAGAGATACAGTATGTACTTTTAAAAAATGTTGCCCTTCTCTTTAAAGTACTGAGATGGTTGAAAGGGAGGTAGAAACAAAGCCTTTCTCTACTAAATACTGGGTTACTTTCCTGAAAGGGAAGGGAAAAAAAAAATAAAAAAAAATGCTGTTAATATTCAGTAAACGAATTTCCCATTAGAATTAATAGTTCATATTATAAAAGCCTCTTGGTTTATCCAGCATTTTAGCTAAGAGTGAAAACACAACAGAATTCTTTTAGGGGGTTCAGATTTGGCACTAACACCGTGCATTAAGTGACAGATGTCAGGATGTTTGCCTTACTACATTTTTTGTAAGACCCAGTATCACAGACAAACCTACTATATCCCAGTTAATGAAAAACAAACAAACAAACAAAAAACCACACCCGAGCAACCAATCAAGCAAACAAAAACCCTTAAGAATTGACATAAACCATACCAGGCAAATTTAATCTCATTTGATATAAGCTTCCTCCCTCTTTCCCCAGCTTGAGGCAGTCTTTTCTGTGTCTCAAGTTATGCTGGAAATAACCTAGAGAACAAACTCTTGGCTGGGGACCCCAAATGTCTTATGGTCAATGGATATACCCCCTGAAGACTTGCCTTACCTCTAAAATGGAAAAACTAGGATTTTACAAGTGTAGCAATTAAAAAAAATCCATCCATACTAAACCTGGGGGTTATCAACCAAGGTTGAGAAACCAAAATACTGAGTTCATTCTTTAAAATCCATCTTGTTAAAGCCACATTTAGGACAAAAAACAAAGGCTAATGAACAGAAGACTCGCTGTGTCATGTGTAAAAGTAGACTGCATGACATTTGCATTGTGACGGGTCTGTGGAATGCTCAAAGGCTATTATATTATTGTTTTAAGCATCATATGTATCTTTATCAATTTGATAATTACAGCTAGTTCAGTATATTGCTAGTTCAACAGGTGACAGGATAATTTCTTACAGGAACAAATGGAGTCGGTATAAAGAGGCGTATTAGTACAAACTGCAAGGAAAAAATGCAAACAGCAAGTCTCCTAAAGTTCCCAAAAGAAACAGCACAAACAGAAAGGACAGCATTACCTCTGTTTGCCACTGCCCTCCCGACAGAGGTACTCAATCCTGAAACCAACTAACCCGGTTATCGTATCCTCACTTGTACAGCCAAAAGCTGCCTCATTAGCGATGCCCTGTGTGATACGCAGCTAAGCACCAGCACAGAAAAAGACATCAGAACATGAAGCTGGGAATGGAAGGACAAGGTAGGCGAAGTCAGGATTTAGATGATTTGAAACTGCCACAGAATTGCACCTTAAACTGGTTAAAGTAAGCAGAGTCATTTTGAGAGAAATGAGTTAAGGAATGATCATGTAAGTGGCAATCTGGGTAGACTAGATAAAATAGCATCCCCTGCCTGGAACAGTGATGAGGACACGCAGGACAGGCTGAGGAAGACAAAGCTTCAGCTGAGTTAGACACAGCTAGACACAGTTCCCACCATGACTGACATACCACTGGTATCACATGCTTTATGAGACCACCTGAAGCTGCATATGTCAGAGTGATTCAGACCAGAAGGAGTTTTAATTAAGAAACTCCAGGTTAAAGCCTGAAGTAATCCAGCCAAGTAACAGAGGAAGGGGAAAAAGAGTAGAGCAATTGCCCTTGTATCACTGGATGAAACCAGAAACTGAAAGTAAGCAGGAAATCTGACAAAAAAATGAAAAAAATAAAAATAGAGTCCAAAAAAAAAAAAGGAGGAGCTTTGAGACTCTATGTCAACAAATTACATACATTTCTTGAACCATCTGGGTAGTTCTGATTTCACTAAACTAAGCATTTGTAGAGTATGTGGTTTGATTCATATTGCATAAATATTTCATTGAGCTGGGAAGAGACAAATCAAAATACAGGTCTGGTGCAACTACTTCAGAAATTAACTTCTGAACTTCCATTACCATAATGATGCTAACATACTTGAAATAGCTCTGACGAAGAGAAATAAAAGTTGGCTTAAGATCCAGAAGCACCCACAGTGCACATGCACTTTTAGCACAGAACTCATGGGATATATGATGCTAAATTCAAGAACAGTGAAGTGCAGATTAGGAAAGAGATACTTTATGAAAGCTTTCTGAACAACAGGATATTTTAGATCATGGAACAGGATCACAAGAAACAAGCGGGAGCTGCAGTGCGGGGCAACCACAAAGGACAAAATAATACATTGGTATAAAGGAAGGCTCTACGAAGTAACAGATCCACACATATCTGTTACACTTGGTGACAGGTTAAGTTCAAATGAGAACAAGATGGCTGCTAAACAAACATTAAGTATGACAGTGTCCTGGGTTCAGCAGTAGCAGTCATTTTTCTCCTCCTTGGTAGCTGGTGTAGTGCAGTGTTTTGACTTTCAGCTTGGGAACAGAGCTGATAACAAGGATGTTTTGGTTTGGCCAAGGACTTTGTGAGCCTCACGCATTGGGAGGAAGCAGAGACAGGACACCTGACAAACTGACCAAAGAAGTATTCCAACCACAGCACGTCATGCCCAATGTATGGGGGTTAGCCGGAAGGGCAACTGCAGGGTTGGAGGAGGTATCGGTCGGAGCTTGGTCGGGCTGAGGGGGGGCGAGTTATCTCGGCTAGGTGTTGTATTCTCTTCCCTTGTTATTTCCTTTATCATTATTATCATTGGTGGTAGCAGTAGTGATCTGTGTTATACCTTAGTTACTAAACTGATCTCAACCCGTGGGAGTTGCACTGTTTTCGATTCTCCTCTCCGTCCCTCCGAGAGCAGGGGGAGGGCAAGAAAGGGGGGGAAGTGAGCGAACGAATTACCTGACTGGGTTTAAACCACGACAGACAGGAACAAGCCCCTAACATCAGTAGCTTTCACATTCTACATGAACTCTAATATTGCAATTGCCTTATCCATTCAGTTTGGTTTCATGAACCTCATGTCACTTTTGGCTAAGAGTTATAACCTCTGCTGTAAAAAGGGAAAGATAATTGCAGTTTTCCCCAAGTACAATTGATTACAGAATTCCTTGAAATGCCAGAAAAACTGGCTTACCTCTCAGACTATCCATATTTTTACACAAAAGCATTTCCAGCACTGGTTTCTGCTGACACAGCTGTTTGGCAGCCAGAACAACAGGCTTTTTTTTTAAGTATCAATAATAAAAATAAAAGCATGACATATCCCAAAGCACTTGGAGCTACTCCTAATGGAGAGCTACAGAGTGAGCACAATCTTCTCCTGTAATTCCATCACACCATGAAAGGATCTGGTGTTCAAAGTGATCTTTCCTCATTATTGCCACCTTTAATACCGCTGGGGTGGGGAAGGACAGGGATGAGCACCAGCGATGTAGAGACCATTAGGTCCTTAAAATACTTACAAATAAAGCTGCCTCAATTTTGGCCCAAAGAGACACATCTCTTGTGTTTCTTTCAACTAAAATTTCACCTAAATCATCTCTCCAACAAACTCACCAAAACCCGACCAAACCACAAAATCAAGCTGTTCTGGCACGAAAACCTCTCCAGCTGCACAGGAATAAAACCCGATTGCATTTGGGAAACACGACACCGCTGAACACATAACGGGGGCCCATCCTGCCAACCAAGCAAGGTGACTTTGAGGGAAAGCTTCCCGGTGAAAGACGGTGCCACCTGCCCCGGTTCTGCTCCGCACACGCCGGCGCACCCGCAGCGGGGAGGGAACTCTGCTGCCCGCCTCACGGAAAGGCTCAATCAGCGCCCAGACCCGCCTCTGCCGCCGGGCTCTTCCGCCCGCCCCCAGGCGGGGGGCGCACGTGCTGGAGGGAAACACGACGCGGCGCAAGCGCGGTGCGGCCGCCCCCGGGGAGGAGAGCCTTACATCTCCGGGCGCCTAATGGACTGATGTCATTTCCCCGACTCCGTGCCTCGCCAGCCCATTGGCTGCTGGAGAGACCGCTATCTGTAGTTACGCTTCCCGGTTGGCTGTTGCCTCGTCGGCTCTCGCCCTATCCCAATTCGGGCCACGCAAATTAAGGTCTCTAACCGCGCCTTCTGCCCCAGCCCCTCCTACCGCCCCTGCCAGCTCCTCCTTTCGCCGCCTGCTCCTCGCTCTCATTGGTCAATAAACGTGCTTTGCTCCTCCCCCCCTCCTCTGCAGTGAGCTCCCTGATTGGGTGGCGGCGAGCTCCCTCAGGTCCCGCCCCTTGGCTCGCCGCACTGCGCATGTGCTGGTGTCGTGCCCCACGCGCGGAGCCGACGCCGAGAAGGTGGGGGGGGGGGTGTACAAACGCACAGAGCACACCTCCCGCGAGTCCGGTCCCGCCCCGACCTCCCCGAGCGGGCGTGGGGTGGGGTGGGGGGGGTAAGAGGGGCTGGCCGTGGAACGGGTGGGTGCGCGCGCTGGCGGTATCTCCCCTGCCGTCAGTCCCGCTCGGCAGCCGCGGTGGCAACAGCGGTAGCGGTCTGGATAGCGGAGCCGCTGTTTTCTCTTCTTCTTTCTTCTGCTTCTTTTTCTCGTTCTTTCTCTCCCCCAGGACACGGTGAGCACAGTGGCGTGGAGGCGGGCTCCCCTCCCTTACAGCGTCGGGGTGCGGCGGGACGCAGGAGCTGTTCTTACCCTAGATTGCGGGACCTCCTTCTTTCCAGCCCGCCCCGGCAGCAGCCAGTAGCGACCGAGGGAGGGGGCGGCCGGCGGCGGCTCCTCGTCCTCCTGCCGCTCCACACCATAAAGAGGTGCTGTGGCGAACAAGGCGCTGCTTCCTGCCCAGCTCCGCGCCCCAAGCTGGGACGGGCGTCGGCTGCCCCTCGGCCGGTGGGCGCTGGTCTCCTCGCGGGGCGGGCCTGGCCCATAACTCGGCGGCCGGCAGCGTATCGCGGGGTCAAAGGGAGGGTCGCCTGAGGCAGGGGAGTGTTGTGGCGGCGGGTGGAGGAGACCGCGGGCGCGGAGGGTTGTCCCCGCGGAGGGAGCGCCCCGGCATCACCGGGCTTCGAGCCGCCGCTGCCGCCTCTTGTCTGTGCTGGCGCTGGTCGGAGTTGTCATCCGGGACTAGGCTGGGCTTTCTCGTCGTATTTCACGTCTGTCATTGCCTGGGAAACTTCACGAGCTCGAAACAACTTTGAGCGGAAAAAGAAAAAAGTAATTTTCTTTAATGTTATAGCTGCTGGAAAACACAGTCGGCAAGTTCCTCTTATAATTGCAGCATCACTCCTTTGGAGGAAGCGAGACCTGAACATAGGATCGCAGGGAAAGCACTTAATCTCAACTCCTTTTGTGTAATGTGTGGAAAGACTAGGCTTTTCTGTGCCGTAGGACTCTCCGTTGGGAGGTTTAATGTCTTTTAAAGTATTCTGAGGCTTTTCAGAAAGATTTTAAGTGCAAATTGCTCCTGCCGTAAACCTCTAATCTGGTGAATTCAAAATGAATTTGGGTATTTGAGGAGACTGCTGTGCTGGGTTTTGGGGGTTTGTTTTGTGTTTTGTTTTTTTTTTTTGTCATTTTTCTGTAGTAAATGTAAATGCAACCGCAACAGTGCTGGATATTGTTGTCTGAAATTTGGGTGTATTCGCTTGCTACTTGGTGTTTCTGACATCAGTTTACGAAACTTGTGTGTGGTTTCTGCTATCTTTGCTATCACTGACCTTATTCAGCAGAATCCTTTGTGTTATTGGTACTCGCAATCTTGTGTAACTGTCTGCCATGGCTATAGAAATACATAACATGGTTGCAGTTTTCGATGGCTATCTTGCTTCCTGCTTGCTTTTTCTCGCATAAATCTTTTTAGAACTAAGACTGAGAGTAACCTTTTTTTTATCCCCCCTTCTTTTCTCCCTGCCCCCACCCCCAATTCAACAGATGCAGTTTATGTTGCTTTTTAGTCGCCAGGGGAAACTGAGACTCCAGAAGTGGTATGTCCCATTATCTGACAAAGAAAAGAAGAAAATCACAAGGGAACTTGTTCAAACAGTATTAGCCCGCAAGCCGAAAATGTGCAGCTTCCTGGAATGGAGAGACCTGAAGATTGTCTACAAAAGGTTATTCTGTCTCACTAACCTTGTAATTGCCTTACATGACAAACAACGTAATAAGTAGCAAGCAAATAATGAAGGTTGATTTTTGTTGTTGATGTGGTTTTTGGTTTTGTTTTGTTGTTTTTTTCTTTGCTTCTGCTGGTTATGGAGAACACCGACTTCTCCCTTGAATCTAATTTGATAACCAACTAGGAATCATTCATATGTGGAAAATCATTCATGCGTTTAGAAATGTGCTGAAGAAATGAGGTTTCCTTCTACTTCCAGAAGGAGTGGTGGAGTCTTGGTTCTCCGTTGAGATTCACGCAGTATGTAAATGCTTACAAATATGAAGCATGTGAGGTTTAATACATGATAAAGAAAAACTGAATTTCATAAGTCAGTGACTTCATAAATCACCTGAAAATGTAGCTTGCTTTTAAAGGCTTATAGAAATAAGGAATAATTTTTGAGATTACCCAGTTTGTTTTTTTGTCATTTCTTTAATTTTGTTTTTTCTGTATATACAAAAAGGCATTTCTCCTAATTGAACAAATCATGGCTAGCTTTCTTCTGATGGAAGTAATGTATAATTTTTTTTGCAGTAATTTCATTTCTCAGTTGTTCACTAACTTTTCTAGGAGTATCTTAAAAGCATTTTTTAGTTTTGTGCTGATCTTTAGAATGTAATCCTCATCCTGATTTGGTAGGCTGAATCTCTTCCAGCTAAAGCTGGTGCTATGAAACCTTGAGTTATCTCCCCTAGAAGGTTTGTGCGTTTGTATTTCCCTCTTTGAGATACTAAATGATTTGTGCCCTACAATAAATATTATTATATTCTCTCTGTAGGTAAGGCAGAGAGGACTAGAGGTGAAATGAAGAGTTTGTAATTCTTTCATAGTGTACCAAATGCGTAGAATCAAAAAGGCTTAGAGGTTTAAGTCCTGTTTCGTATATATGTTGTTGCATGGAACTTCATGCCCATGAATGTCATTCATTCTAATGCATGTAGCTCTTTAACAGGGAGGAGGAAAAAGGAGGAACAATGCATAAGGCTGTTTTGAAAGCATAGGTAGTTTTTATTTCAGCATCTTGATTTTCTAACAAAACTTCTTGTACATGCATGTAGGCAAGCTTACTTGAATGCTGTGGGTGCTTGAGTTCTAATGCCTACAAGTGCTTCTTTAGCTGGGCTTTTCTGGGACTAAATCAGAAAAATTTAGCATGAGTAAGCCAGTCTGTTCCCTCCCTTGCCCAGTCTTGAACAGCAGTAGCTCTTCTGGTGGTGGTTTGATTTCACGCAGCTGCTTTCCCTTCTTGTCTGTTTATTGCTATTAACAACTTGTCATGTCCTTTTGTGTCTAAGGGAAGTGGTGAAAATGTGGCTGTGACTCTGTTGCTGAAAGTTTTGGTGTTCATGCATCTCAGTATGTGTTGTGGATCCTCTGGTCAGGGAGAATGAAGAAATTTGCTGGGAGATTTATCCTAGACCATTTTGGGCTGGACGTAGACTGTAGCCCGTCAGCTAGGCTGCTGGTGTGCGCAGCTGACTGCAGTAGCTTACTTACTTCACTGTGCAAAACAATCTGGCACAGTTAGCCTATGAAATCTTGTTTATTAGCTTGATACAAGCTGATCTTAACATCTCCAGTCTTTACTTCTGCTTTTTCGGCATGTTCCGTTAGACTAAAACATCATCAGAAGGACTAAGTGTAAGAGGTGATAGTTTAGATTCTTGTATCTGATAACATTTACAGCTTTTAGGTTAGTGGGATTTTTTCCACTCATCACATTGTCATTAAAGGTGATGAGTACAAGCTAGTATGATTTCTTTGAAAAGAGAGATCAGTTATAACTCAAAATTATATAATCCCCAAAAGACGGTTATGATAGTCAAAGCCTAATACATTCTGAAGGGTGGGTGGCTAAAAGAGAAACACATCTGCGTGAGTTTTGCATGGTTTGTGAAACTGCAGAAAGTGTTCCCAGTTGCTCACAGACAAAAGTATCTCCTGGGATCTGTTCTTGTCCAATCTGTTATTGGGAAAGATCTGAACTTCTGTTGCAAATGTTTTTCAATATAAACTAGAAAAGTATGTGCATAGTGCGATTGTATATGTTGCATGTGATGCTGTTAAGAGTCTGAAAGTGCTGAAATTGATGTGCTCTTTTTGTTTTTAGAGTGTATTTACTGTCAACATGTGAGAGAGAATTGATCTAGATATTGCAGCTCAGAGAACTGTTGCCATTATTTAGAAGTGTCCTCAAGGGTTGCATTGATGCACCTATTTTCAAGAACAGAATGAACTGAAATGCAAAATTGGCAAGCCAGTAGGTTTTGCTGCCTTGATACTTAGTGTTTATCAAGAAAGCTGGGCTATTTTGATTAGCCTCCTTAGCTCTCTAACGTGTCATCCTTAGTTTGCTTTCTGAATGAAACTTCAAGCAAATAGAACTGTTTTAAAATCCATCTGAATGTGTGTGATTTATTTTCTTTAGTTTCACACATGTAGCATTGATAACGGTTGCAGACTAGGGTCAGATGAAAAGGCGCCCTGCTTTTTATGTGGTTGTGAGTTGGGATGTATGTACTCTGTAGCTGGTTTGGAAGAGAGTTTGTCTGGCTAGTAGACACTGGAAGATTGGAAAAGGACATGAGTGTTTAACTTCAGGAGACGGAGATTTGAGTGACTTGCTGAGTAAAAAAAAAAGAAATTCAAATATGGGAAGTCAACAACAATTGCACTTTATGAAAATAGAGAGGGAGACATCTGCAGACAGCTGATTAGAAACTTAGCAAACACAGTTGATGATTGCTCTTCATGTTTTGTCCTTCTAAGAACTAGCTGTAGTGGTACTGGTGCATACAGGTTAGAAATTCATGCAGCTGTCTGCTTGTGGCAGAGAAATGTGTTAAATGCTAAAATTTGTAGTTTTACTGAAAAAAGGAACTTAAGATAGGATGTGATTTCCCCCCCCCCCAGATGTCAGCTGGTCACTATTTTAGCTTCTGGTGGTATGAATTATTTTCACAGTATACTGCAGGCAAAATTGGAATTGCAGAATAGCTGATTTTTATATAAATTTCACTTTAATATTTGGCTAACGTGAGGCTTGCTTATTGTTGTTTCATAATTTGATTAAGGTTTTTGCCTTTGCTTTTATATGTTTGAAGTATTAAGTTATAAAACTTTAGCTTGTGCTGCTCTTAATGTTGTGGCAGATGTCTTATACTTTAAAATAGTTTTCCAGAAGTCTTTAACATAACCTAAGTTCTAAAGCTTTTCTTTTCAACTGTCCCATCCCTCTGTCCCCTCCTGATTCCCACCCTCCCTCCCTTCCTTCCCCCCTCCACCCCAACAAAAGACACTCTTCTTTAAGCAGTGTGCCTCTTAAAGTATTATGAACCTAAGGTGCAGGCCTGTGGCTAGTGGTATGTTATGTGCCCAGCAGTTGACATAATCACTGTCTATGTACATCTTAGCTGCCAGTTGTATCTGTTAAAAGTATCACTGTGATGTTAATTAGGTGACTGTGTAAAAAAACTGAATGCAATTATAGTGAATTAGGTACTTGGGTTTGATTATTTTAACTTAATCAGGCCTTCTTTATACAGAATTTCAGTTCATGCGTCACTAAGAGGACCTTGGTATTGAGAAAAAAATTCTTAGATGATTAGCAGTACCAAGTTTTTGTTCATTTCTAAACCTACTGGGGGGTATAGCCTTGCTGAAATGAGAAACTGTAAAAAAAAAAATAAAAAATGCTTAATTTCAGTAGTGGTATTGTTAATCTCTCTATAACTGAATAGTGACTGATCTGCCTGTCGTAAATGCTCAGAACTTGTTTCATCAAACAAATGTGAGTTTTTTTGGAGGAGGAAAAGAATCTTCTACCAATCACAACTTACTAGCTGTCCCAGTTTTCATTGGGTCAACAGCTATCATCAAACAACAGATTCTTGGGCTCCTGTAAGCACCTGCCTGCCTTTTAAAGGCAGCTTGGTTGTCATTTGCATTTCATTTCTGCTCCTGTCAAACTCTGTAAGCTTTAAATTTCTGCAGTTGGGATCTATGTGCAAAGTGACTTCAGATGCTGACAGACTTTTGGCTTGCTTGTAGCTTTGCCTGGTGACAAACTTCCAGGGCTGGCTTCAAGTAGGCGTTCTCTCAGCTAATAGGAGAATACCACTGAACTGATAGGGTTTAATCAGTTATGCTCTGCACTCAGTGACCTGATCTCCCAGCAGAGTTACTGAACCTCGTTGTGAGTAGAGCAGTAGCAGAGAACTCTGCTGAAGCTTTTCCTGCTAATCATGAGGCTTCTTGCTGCTGAACTATTGCAGCTGTTGAGGGGTAGGTTCATGGATTTTTTTCGTGTTGCAAAAAAATCTCTCTAAATTAATCTGTCTGAAGGCAAGAGTTTGTAAAAGTATTTATATGCCTCTTGTGTTTCCTTTTTATTTAATCCACATTGGATTTTTAGTTTTTTTTTTTTTCCAAGCTCTTCTGGGGGCTTCTGTGTTTGCTTCCATGTCTGACAAGTGGAGGGAGTTCTGTCGTAAAATATTTCCCTAAATGAATGTAAGCACCTAACTTGGGTGTGAAGACACCTGCTGAGAGAGAAAAGGGAAAACAAAACAAATCCAACCCAACACAAGAACAAAAAAAACCTCAAACCAACCAAGAAAAAAAAAGACCAAATCCCCAAACAAAACACAATAGCAAGTGGAAGAAAATAGGGCAGAATGTTTCTTACAGACTGCACTAGATTTGCTTTTGTGTGATGTGGCATACTTTACTATAAAGATTTGTCTTTTCAGTGGGTGCATACGGAAGGCAGGTTTATGTCGGGCTCAGTAGGGGAAAACAGCATTTCTGCAGAGCAGAAATCTTTCTTCAGCCTTCAGCACCATAATCTAATTGTCTTTGTAGGGCATTCTCCATGTAAGCTTCTACACTTGGCAAAACCTCTAGTTTATCTGCAGTAGACTAAATGTGGATGCTTTTTTATGAAGCCCTGGCCTGCAAAAGAAAATTGATATTAAACTGTTGTCTTTGAGAATTTGCATCTGAAGAAAGGTATACCTTAGTAGTATGCTCATGCCCTTTGCAGTGATGGCTGACTTGTTTATAGTCTAACATTATTTGCCATATAGGCTTAATGAATCTGCATGTATTTTCTTTTGTTGAGTAGTGATCCATTAGTTACGGTTGCTACTTAGAAAATACTTGGAAAAATATTCTCTGCATATAATGATAGATAGCCAGGCCTCCCTTTCATGTTAAGATGCCCACTGGGTAGTTTTTGTTTCTTGGTATTCTTTTGCCAAAACTGCAGTTGGCAGAGCTTGAATGTGTAGTCTACTCACTAGCTGCCAAATAAAGTCTTTCAAAAGTATGCTATGTTTTCTTTTAAATGAGGATGCTGAGAGCAGACATCTTTCTGGGAAAGTACTTTGTTAGGTAATCTCTCCCTTCTATCCCCACCCCCGCCTCTTCTTTGTGGGTATTTGCATAAAGTAGTTCTGTTCATCAAAAGGGATTCATAAGTAATGGGGAAGCACAAAAGGACTGTTTTATGTGGATAAAATTCAAATATTTGATGTAAATTTGGTAATGTTTCCTGGCATGCGTTTAAAGTTGTGCTTAAGCACTGTAAAGGAACAGTTTAACTACACTTTATAATCAGTGCTGCTCATCTGAATATAAAGAAAGCTATATGAAGAAAAGATGGATCTGGCCTGAGTGCTGGTAATTAGTGCAAATGTCAACTAATGCACCAAAGCTCTTTCTCTACAATGAAATACAGTAAGTTGGAGTTTGACTTCTAAATTCCTCAGTAGATTTGAAAATGTTTTTTCTTTATAGCATCACTTTCCAATACTTTTTAAAATAGCTTTGTCTAAAAGATGCCTTATACAAATTGCATCTTGCAGGCTAGTTGAAAAATTAGTGAGGCACAAACACAACAATGTAAAATCAAAAGAACTGTGCTCAGATAGGATTTCTGATGAGCTGACAAGTCCCTATGGTGAGGAGATGAAAGAGCAGGGATTTAGTGTTAAGTGCTTCAATGGAGGTGTCTTCCTCTCTTCCCTCCCCCTAAAGTTTTGTGGTAGGATGGAAGAATTGGCAGGCAGTAATTTTGTTAAAATAGTTTAAAACTCTTATTCAAAACTTATTCTGGGAAGTTTTAACAATGAAGCCATAGCAATTTGACTCAGAGCTGGGGGGGGGAGGCGGCGGAGTGTTCGGATCATAAATGGTGCTAGGTGAGCAAATTTGAACATACTAAAAAATGCAACTTTTTTTCTTGGCCAGACTTCTAGCCCAAACCCTGACAATTTCTTTGTGGGCTTACAAAGTCCCAGCTTATAAAATATGCATAACGTTTAAAAGGTCTGTATCTCTCTGTGCATGGGAAACAAATGCATATCTTAAATTTGGCATTCATATCTGAATGGCTTCTTTTTTCAGTAGGGCTGGATACGGTGTGCTTAATGTGGCCAGTTGTTCTGAGTAGGTAAACAAAAGCTGTTTCTGTTTCCTGTAAATTATCAGTTACAAGAGGTGTGACTTGAAATCTCAGTTGTGCCATGTGTGTCTGTATAGCATATGGTTTTAGCACTTAAAAATTCAGCTTTCATTTCTGGTTTGTTTTTTTTTTTTAATCAGCTTTTTTTTTTTTCTACACATGACTTAAGAGTATGGTAGAGCACAGCAGAATTGAATGGTCTTTTTGTTAAAGTGGCAAGCCAAGATATCTTAAATAAAGAATTCCCTGTCTTCCAAGGTGGCAGTGGATTGCTAGAAACCAGATGATGGTGTCTTGTTAGCCTTATACCAGGATAGTTGGTAGTGATCGAGTTGTTGACTTTGTAGCAATTGGGGTATATGACATTAGTATTAATTTTGGAGCTTTTGGGGCATTTGTTAAATTCTCTATAAAGACCAAATTCTAATCGTTAGTTCAATTTATCTTTCCCAAGGTATTTTCTGTAGTTTTTATTATCTTAGTGTGTGGCTTTTGTGATAAAAATTTAAGATTGAATCTGTTAATTAGTATACCAGTGTTTGGATATTACAGATAGTAGAAAAAAAAAAAAAATTGCCCCAGAATTCTGCCAGGAGGCCAAAAAAATCCCAAATGCATTTCCATTTCCAATTACCTCTTAATTCCATCAACTGAAGAGTGATAAAGACTGAAGTCTTTCTTGAATCAAGGAGGCAGATCCCATGAGTATGTCTGCTGAAAGTTCTTTGGTAGAGCTTGTATGACTGCTGATGTAGCATAACAGTCTCCTGGACTTGAGTATGAAGGACTACTGAGAGCATAATACATCTCAAGTGCATTCATTTTGTACATGTTCTTATGCTAACATCAGGATTATTTTATTACAGATATGCAAGCCTTTATTTCTGCTGTGCGATTGAAGATCAAGACAACGAACTAATAACTCTAGAAATAATTCATCGCTATGTAGAACTTCTTGACAAGTATTTTGGCAGTGTAAGTTAGCGTCTTCATGTTACAGAACTTCTTTTTTTTTTTTTTTTTATGCCCACAGCTCTTTCAACAGCTAGCTGATTATGTTTTTTAGAGGTACATCTGACGCATGTTGCTTGCTTGGCCTAACTAAACTAATGGTTGCCTATATGACTGTTAAAATACAAAATACCAGTAATTTGAGAGAACTGTTATGAATCCGGAGTTAATTGCCTTGTATTTGTTTCATTTTTGTAATAGCCTTGCTGGAGGTCAGGCAAAATCTTGTATTTAGCTTTCTGGCTAGTCACCCAGACTTCCTTGTCCTTGACACTGCTAGTGTGTAAGCATTTTATCTGCTCCCAAAGGAAGCAGTTGGTTGTGAACTAGCAGGAGCAGTGGGCAAAGAAGTGGCAGACATCTGCTTATCAAGATAGCAAACAACTGCAGTAATGTACATTAGCACTCAGAAAAACTGTTGCTCATCCTTCTACTTTCCAAGGGAGGTGCACAGAATGAATAAGAAATTTGAGATGATTGTGATTTAATGTTTTATGCAAGATTGTGCGTTCTGCCTTTGGATACCACAGGCAAGAAGAGAACTCTATGTAGGAATGTTCTCTTGTTTCATGAAGAGCCATGTTATATTGACAGTTATGAATTGAATCCTTTTCAACAATGAAAATGTTTTGCAGAGAGTTTGCTGTAACTCTACTTAAGCAAAAAAAAAAAAAAAATATTTTTTTCCATGGGATTGATTTTTTTTTTTTGTTTGTTTGTTTTTGTTTGCTAATTTTTGTTGTTGTTGCCCATTTCTTAAAAAATTCCAGCCTGAGGCTAACATCTTGGTTTGGCGAAGCTGTGAACAAGTTAAGTATTGCGAGAGGATATACCTCAATAAATAGTATCCTCCTACTTTCTATTAATGCTTGGTGTTCTTTTTAGGTATGTGAACTTGATATCATCTTCAATTTTGAAAAAGCCTATTTCATTCTGGATGAGTTCCTTTTAGGAGGGGAAGTTCAGGAGACTTCCAAGAAAAATGTTCTCAAAGCCATTGAACAGGCAGATCTTTTACAGGAGGTAAGCAAATTCAGCTTTTTCTGGCCAAAGTAACAGCATGGTAGGCTTGAATTGAAAAGTCTCCTGTTTCTGTTAAGCTTGTAGGAGGTGCTTTTTAGCATGCTTAGCATGTAGTTTCTAGTTGGTTGTTCTAATTGTGCAATATGATGCTCTCTGCTCTTGGCATGTGTATATTGTAACCTACTGTGATTTTTTTTTTTTTTTTTGCTAGAAATTCAAGTAGCTGTTCTGTGTGTATACTTAAGAGAATGATAGTTCATGCTGCTTTAACGTAGTTTTGTTCATGTGTCTTTAATTTCTTCTTTTTATTAATCAACCATTAGTTTTTTGTCATACCTGATGCATGTTCACTTCTTTACTGTTTCATTGCTGAAATCCAGAAGCTAGACTCTCTTCTTTGAGACTCGTTCAGGTATAGTTCTTATTCTAAAGACCTGCCTTTCTGCTATAGGTTGCTTACCATGGAACATTTCTGTCTTTTAAGTTGACAAAGTAGTAAAAGTAATACCATAGAAATGTACAGAATGAAGTATAAGAACAATTGTTTTTTCACTTTGAATGCTTTTATTGTTCATTACTAACTTTGAAAAAAGATTGCATCTCTATACCATTTTCTTTGGAAAACATTTGATGGGAAGGGATTCAATGATATAGAAAAGCTTAGTATAATTTCCCCATGTTTCTCCATTGTATGCTGGTAGGTTTTTTTTATTGTTTTTGGGATGGTAATGGTAGTTTTGGGTTTGTGGTTTTTTTTGTTTGTTGTCTACATTTGTGTTTTTTTGTTTTCTGGGCATTTTTTTTGTTTATTTTGTTTTATTTTGTCTGTCCCCACCCCCCACCCCCATCCTCTGAATTGCTGTAGTCTTGAGGTGAGTGTTAAGGTCCTTCCAAACCTAAATGGAAATAGAAATTCTGGTGTGCTGGGGTACTTGTTAATCTTGTGTGCAAGTCAGTGGAACATCCAGTTTCACAGTGATGGTGAGCCTTAATTTTGTTTAAATGTACTGAGATTTGCGCGTAAGATTACATATAGATGTAAGCTCACTTTTTTTTTTCTTCCCCTCAGTGTATTTCATCCTGTGAGTTAATTGCTTAATTCTCTTATAACAGTTCTCTGTTCCACTTGGTACTCTTTTTGTTGAATGTGGTATTAATAGCATGGGGAAACACATAATGTTTTTACCCTTGTAGTTATGTTTGTAATCCTTTCAGAGTACAGGCAAATCCACAGCACATTACAGTTCTGGTCCATCAACAGCTAGTTAGTGTCATGAGCAAGGTCAGCCATTACAGATTTGCTGCCCTTAGTTTCTAGTAAGGAAATTATATGCACTTGCTTATGGCTTGTATTCTGATGCACTTTTGGTTAGCCCCTTCTTTACCTTTAAAAGTAATCATCTTAACAGGAAGTCCTGTTGCTGTTTACAAAGGGGGTGTGTGGGGAATAATCTGTGTAGTCTCTGAAAATGTTTTGCTGCTCTCTAGATAACTGTTATATCTGCTTTTATATATTCCAATCTGTCTCCTGCAAATGCGCAGTTAATAATACATAAAATAGAATTACTGTACTTATTCACACTAGTTTTGAATTTTGTTTTCACCATTTTCCTAGGGCTCTTCTAAAACCAAAAGGCATTCTACCTGTAGGAATTAATTACTGGTTTCTAGCCAAACAATTAACATTCTCTTTTTACACTTAAATTTTACACAAAAGTATCACTTTTTCAGTGGAAGACTTTTCCCTTGCCCTGATAGATGTACTCTGATTATCCTTCCCTTCCCCATCTCTGAGATTTTCTGTTCTGTCAAGGTTTATTAGGTCTTCTCTGATTAAATTGGAATGTAAGAATTTATCACAGTGCCACTCTGGTCTTATGTTTGATGTTTATGTATTTCATTCTTGGTTATATTGATTGTTGATCAAGTATAAAGCTACTCCATATATCTGATTTTTAGTTTATAAAACCTGTAAAAGTCTGAGTTCATATTTAAATCGAGCTTCCAAGAAAGTTGAACTCTTTCTGCAGAGGTTTGTTTTTGTATCAAATGCTGCTGTGTGCATGCTGAGTTTGATGAAGAGGGTTGTTAAAATAATAGTTTGTCACAACTGGAGACTCTCTAGTACTTTAGTTAATTTCTGCTTCCAAGAGTACTTCAAAGCTACTGTAATGAAATGTGGTTTGATTCCAAATGCAAACCATTTCTAGCAGGGTGGCTGTGTGTTTGTTTCTGTCCATGTCAGATCCTTATTATGTGCAACAAAAGAACTTCTATTTGGCTGTGAATACTCAGGTTGCCTAATTTAAAAATTATTAATCAGTGTTGAATACACAACATTATTAATTAGTAATGCTAGATACATTAATGTATGAAGCACCTTAAAGATTAAAAGATGCACAGAATACTTAATGTATTTGTAATGACTTTCCTTTGCTTAAGTGGCTATTTGTGTGTTAAAAGGAAATATGCAGAGGCATAAATTGCTGAATAGTGAATTAGCTCTTAATACCCTTGCTTGCTTGTTTTTTCTGTGGCAGTTTTCTAGCATGTACTGTTTCTGAGCACCTACTTCAGTTTGTCATTAAGTTCATAGTGCTGTGCAGTCCACCTACTGACGGCTGGAGTTCGTGTGACTGAAACATACTAACTTTTTAAACCTTCCTCACCTTCACTTTCTTGTTAGCTCTTTAATAATGTGCGCATTTAAAATATTCATTCCCTACACCCCATTTATTACCGCCTGTTAACTTGCCAATAGTCAGTTGTCAGTACTAGCTGTGTTATACATATCAATGGTAATAAAACCAAATTATTCCAGTGTGCTTACATGCTTCCTTGTAAATCTGTTGCTAGAAATACTTCAAAAGAATTATGTCATGTAACTGGATTGATAATTTTGTATCTTGCTTGCTGTACAAATCTTAAATATTTCACTAATGATTACAAAGTCATGCCTTTCTGAAAAGGTGTATGTTTGCTTGTGTGAACAGTTTGTACTGAGAGAATGGGCAGATGCAGTATGTTGTTGCATGACTTATACATGTGGTGTGTAAACAGCTAAAAGATAATCCTGTGCATGATTTCATGATACTTGCAGTGCATGAAACTAGGAACATAACATGCTCTAAGCAAAAGAAAAAAGCTGAATTTTTTCACTCAAGTCTACTTAATTGTGGTTTTTACAAGTAATTCCACATGGTGCTAGGAAGTTCATGGTCATTTACTGAGCTAAAATACTAATATCAAGGAGTTAATAATTCTAATGCCTAAACTAGGCAATGATCTATATGTTTAAAAGCAAATATGTACTTACTCACTCATCTTCATTTGAAGGAACTTCCTAAACTTTGGCTTTGAGTGAAAACTCTGTTATTCAACCTACGTAATTTTTATAAAAAGTATTTTAGAAATTACCCCCATTTTGTCCTCCACTGTTCTTTTGTAGGGTGTGTATGTATGTAATATTTGATTGCAGAGCATCTGAAATAATGAAAATTTAAATATTTTTAAGGATGTTATCTCAATAAAAAGACCAGTGGATCTGTTGACATATCATACTTGTTTGTTTCTATCACTACTTTAGTAATGATAAAAAAATCTAAAAGCGATGTGAGTCTTAGGCTCTTGCAGTTTAGCCTCAGGTAGTATTTACTAGTCCTTCTGCATGAAGAAAAATAGATAGTCTATCAATTAACCTTATTGTCCTTGTTATTTCAAGGCCTTACCTCATCCTGTATCAAGAAGGATGCTTAAATTGTTAATGTCAGTTAACTTCCACTAGATGCTTAGGGTTGCTGTGTAGATTTAAGCTTCTATTTTTTAGAATGAGTATTTTTGAAAAAAAAAACTTGGTGTATTTCTTATGCATGCCATGAAAATTGCTTTCTTAAGCATGAAATGTTCTAATTGGAAACTATAGGTTTAAAGTTATGCATGGTAGCAGAGAGATAGTATTAGGTTGTCTTTGAGATACGACAAAATAAAGGAATGTTAGCATAAGCAATGACAAAGAAAATCCCTGTTACCTAAGCCTGGAGTGAGTGGGAGTAGGAGGATTTTTGTCTGGTTTAGGAAACGGCCTTTGTAAGCACCTGTTTCTTAACAGTTGCCTGAGAAACTTAGGATAATTAATGCAATTAATTCATTCTTCATTTAATGTTAGCTCTTCAGACTGCTGCAATAGACTGCCTTCCTAAGTTGGCAGTGACATTAATTGCCTCAACTGTACCTGTATTCCTCTCAATGTGAAACAAGAATGGATAATGAGATCCTTATTATAATGGAGATCTGACTGCCTTGATTGCCATCTGTTCTTCATGTGTAACTTCTGGCTCAGTTTCAGGCAGTCAGCTTGGTTGGTCAGTTCAAGACTGCAGTTCTTAAGACATGTATGTGCTTGATTTTACTCACAAATAATGATCTGAATGTACTCGTGGAAGATAGAGTAAGTTGTGGTAGTGTTTTTGTAGCTGACACTTTTGTAAAATACATTTCAGCTGTCAGTCCCTGGAGGATGTTGGATATGTAGCAGGAAAGAGGAGGTAATGCAGTTAGCATGTTTGATCTTTTGGTTTAAGTATGCAGTGTACATCTTATCCATTTCGATGACATCTTGTCATTGATTCCGATACACTGATCAAAAATAAAGGGGCTTGTTTATGATACTAGTTCCAGATGTTGTTTAAAAACTTGGAATTAAACTATTTTTTATTTTTTTGTGATAGTCTATGCATAAGTAGAACAATTTGGGAATGCGCATTCAACATAATCACTTTCTTTTTGAGGCATTGCATGTTTTTTTAATTGTGCTATTCAAAGTATGGGTGCTTCTGAAGTAGTATGTGAGGAAATGGGTGCATGTGTAAATGGCTTTTTGTAAGGTACTTCAGGTATGGAGAGATAGGGTTTGTGTTTTGTTTTGGTATTTTTTTTTTCCCCAGTCTTGGAAGTAAAAAGTTTAATTGCTTGTTCTTAGACACTGACATAGTTTTCCACAAAACATTACCCCAAATCAACGTAAAAGTATATTGGGCCTAAGTGATTAGTTACTTTTATGTTTGTTTTCCTGTATCAGTTGAACAGATGGTTATTATTCTTTGAATGAATAGGTTTTGTATAACTGCTTGGCTACAGTTGTGCTCTGTAACATTATATATATAATATGCTTCACTTTGTAAGAATTTATTTGCACATTGTCTTAGGCAATTTGTTTATTTGCTGTTCAGTTATGATACGGGTTGTTACTGTGGTCATAAAAACTACACAGCCTCTTAAAGTCAGCATTTGCAAGATGGAGAGCAAAGAGATACACAGTTAAGAAGTGTTAGTGTGCATGGGAGGTGTTTCCAAATGTGTCAGTTAAAGTTCCAAGCCTTGTTATGCTAGCATTTGTTCTTTGTGTATGTTTGTGTTAATTACTTTGCTCTTTGCAGCATTCTGTTTAAGTAAAATGTGACTCAAGATCTTTATAGAACTGTGTTTCTGACTTTAGGTATATACATATATGTTTATGGCTGTCTTGCTTATCATTGTCTGTACTGTAGACTGATAAAGCCTACCAACAGTTTTTGTAAGAAGTTGTCATAGCTTTATGAATACCTAATATAAATTCAGCTGGACTTAAGGTAGAAGGAACTGTAAGAATATACGTAACAAGGAATCATACCAACATTGCTTCTCTTTGAAACAAGCCTCTGAAGACAACTAGTTGTACATTTTATAGTAGCAGACAGATCTGTAAACCTTGATGTCAAAGACGTTTCCATATTTTTAATAGATACTTTTGAGTTGGAGTACTGTGGAGTAAGCTTTCCTGCAAATACTTTACCAAATCATATTCTTCTGTTTTAAAACAGTAGGAAAATTGGTCCAGAAAATTAACAGTATAATCTGCATCTGTTTTCCTCCCAGTTAGGAATGGGAGAGGGGAAATTTACTTTTCCAGATTTAAGTGTAGTCTTGAAGAAGTGTCACTGAGTCAAGAGGTTACTGTGTCATTCTTCACCCCCTTCCCATTCTCAGAGTGCTTTTTTTTTTCTCGCAACGTAAATATTTTACTGGTCTGTGAGTCTTTTAATTATATTTAGAAACATGCAGTTCAGTATTTTAATGTTCTTTTTGAATTTTCTTTGCTTTTCTGGATATGTCATGATGCTTAGGTTTTATCATAGATTTGCAGGCTGTGATTTCTAAATGCTTTAGAAATCTAATTGTCTTTTGAGAAACATTTTGGCAAATCTTAATCTATCCTTGCATTTATGAATTGAAAATGGTAGAAAGCAGTCTTTTTACCTGAGTAGCTTTTGTTCAGACCTTTAAAATACCATTTTAGTAAATCTGTCTCCATAATACTTTCTTCTTCCCGTTTTTAGTGTGTATGCGTGTGAGATGTAAGTGATCTTATTCTATTAAAGAAATCAAAATGCTGATTAAAGTTTTAAGACTCAACAAGTTGTGAGGAAGGGGATGTCCATGTAAGTATTAAATATTCATTCAGTCAGCTTTGCAAATAGAAACGTAAGGAAATTTCAATTATAAGTGAGGCAAGTTAGTGTACGTAAAGTCCTTGCTGACTGATAAATGATTCAGTACCCTGGCTGGTATAAATTCCAGTACTGATCAAGATCATCCACTTTGCAAAATTACCAATGAAGTTGATCATGCATTGATATAAACACTTCTTGTAGAATGGTTAAGGGTGTATTAATGGTACCCTGAATTCCTTATGGATTATAATTCACTTAAGGGTGTGTTTATTATCTATACATTAACCTATAGATTTTTCTCCAGAGATATTCTTCTGTTGCTGTCTGTGGAAGCACTGTGTCAGGGTGATGTGATGAAAATTTTAGCACTGCTGCACATGTCATAACTGTTTTCAGGAGCTTAGCTGTGTGCTTTTGGTCAATAAACATTGTACATTCCATGAATAATTGTCGAAGGCTGCTTGACAGTAAAGAATATCATATCTTCAAAATTACACACTCTCTGAAAGAGCGCAAAAATTTGCATTTTAGCAGAACATTTTCCCTGAATCTGGCAGAATATTGGAAAGAGCACTGTTAATGTTTGGACCCTGAAATAGTGAGGAGAAAATTTGATTTTTACTGGTGGCTGAGATTGTGTGATGTTGCAGTGCTCCTACCCTTTCCTAAAGTTCTTGCTACCTGTGAAGATGAGTTTAGAGTGACACAATAGTAGGTGAAAAGAATATGAATGTCCCCAGGAGATACTGCCATTGTGTTCAGTTTTTAGAGTCATTTCTTCGTGGTCTTGTCTGTATGTTCTACATGTCAGGCACATTGCTGGTGTGTGTTTTGAGGCTTTTATTTATTGTTTTTAAGGGAGATGCTATGGTTTTGGTGTTTTTTTTGTTGTGTTTTTTTTTGTTGTTGTTGCCAAGCTGTCTAGCAACAGTAGCAGTTCTGGTGGTGGATATCAAGATGCATTAAAAGCATAATATATATTAAATCTTATGCTGAAAGTTTGATTTTAAAAAAGAAAAAAGAAAGTGGAAAAACCCCTATTGCTCACAGTTCCCTGAGAAATCTAAGAACACCTGGTTAACAGATGGATTAAAGTAAAAATGTTCAACTTTTTGCACCAAGCACCACTACATGAAAATGTCTGGTTTATATACTGCTCAGCAAGTAACAAGGAGGCTTAATAGTAAATGCAGTACATAGCTCTTGAATTGTTTAAATTACTTTAGGGCCGGTAGGTGGAGAAGTTGAATGAAATTCTTACTTCCTTTAACGGAACAAATCTTACTTTGATATCAGTATGAGTCACTGGATTAAGCATGTTTCACATAAATCACTGGATTAGCTATATGTAAATGTGGTAGTATTCTATTCTGATATGCTCTCTCAATCTGTTACAGTAATGCACAGCTGATCTTAAATTCTCTTTTTAAAAAAAAAAAACAACAACCCAAAACCCCCAAGTTTGAATTAGTACTCCTTCAAACAAAGGTAAAGCTTTCTCAACAGCTGTATAGAATTTATTACTTTAAGGTATTCTTTGTCTTGGTAAGAACTGAAAAATAAACTTGAGGGGTTTTTTTAATGCATCTATTTGGAGCCTTCAAATAGATGTTTTACTGGTGCATATTTGTTGTTTAAGAGTGGGCTTTTTAGTAGGACCTGGTAAAATTGTATTTACTGAGTAACAATAGCTGAAACACATTTGAATGAAATAACTGAATTTAATTTTGTATATAGTTCAGAATATTTTCTAATGTTTGTTTTAAACAGAAGTAACCTGTAAATAATTGGGTGGTTGTTGGGGTTTTGTTTGCTTTTGTGTTATTTTTTGTTTGTTTTGTTTAATTAAGTAGTTGGTATTGCATTTTCACTGCCGCTTGATTTTGTGTTTGTAGAGCCAGAATGAAGACTGGGGAGGTTTGTCTGAGGATATCTTATGATTAAGAGCAATCTAAGGCATTAGCCCTTTTGACCCCCATCTAAATGATTGGTAACTACCAAGTTTACCATTTTGGTGGCATGGATTAAATGGGTGCTATGCAAAGACTGCTGCACGTGTAATTAAGTCCTTGCAAGGGTAAACAGAAAATGGGTGATGGGCTTAACTTTCTGCAACACTTGCATGATGGTCTTTGAAGAGTGCTTTGAGTGTTCCTTTTTATTTTCCTTTGTTTACTAACTGCATCAACTGGAAGTGTCTGACTTCTAGCTTTCTTTGGTGTTGATAATCAAGTGGGATAATGCAAGTTAGAGAAATGGTTACTAAAACTAATAACTAAACAGATGTTTGGCTTTGTTTACTTACAATCAACCTATGTAAATGTGTATTTACTGGAAAATGAGCTTTTTACATCTGCTGTGCAGAGAAAATTGGCCCTAAAAAGACTGGGGGGTGCTGCTGCAGTTGACTGTATATTAAATGCCGGATGCTGCATGACAGAACAAAGCTTATTTGCATATATAGTGCATTGCAACGTATTTTTTGTCCAAAGCATAAGCGGAATACATTGTGGCAGTCCTTTAATAAAGGTAAGATTTTATTTTACATAAGTCATGTTTAAAACACATGTGAAAATAATTTGCTGGAGAAAACTTTGCTGCTTATTTGATACAATGATGAGCAAGTAGTTCAGTAAACAAATTGTCTTTTGTAATGGGGAACTGCAGGAATAGATCTAACTTCATATGCAGCTTTATAAACATCAGGGTTTAGTTTCTAGACAAAAGAAAATTCTAATAATAGACAAAAATATTTTGTAATGTGTTCAAAATCAAATTCAATGTTGGTGTATGGGTATTTTTACCGTTTAAATGTTACCTAGTATATGAAACAGTGTGGTGTTTAAAACCAGTCAGACAGCTTGTTCACTCACTCCCAGTGAGTGGTGCCGGCTGGAAGCAATCGAGGCCCGCGCCCCTTCCCCGCTCCTGGAAGGATGGGGAGGAGAATTGAAAGAGTGCAACTCCCGCAGGTTGAGACAAGAACAGTTCAGCAACCAATGTACAACACAAATCACCACTCTTGCCACCAACGACAATAGTGATAAGAGAAGATAACAAGGGAAGAGAATACAATACCCCCTGCCAAAAAAACTAGTCTGACCCAGAAGACCCTGTGTCCTTCCGGGTAACTCCCAGTTAACCTCCCAGGCATGATGTGCTGTGGTATGGAATACTTCTTTGGCTAGCTTGGGTCAGGTGTCCCCTCTCTGCTTCCTCCCAGCTTCCCCTCCTCCCTGGCAGAGCATGAGACTCACAAAGTCCTTGGTCAGGGTAAACATTACTTAGCAACAACTGAAAACATCGGTATTATCAGCACTGTTCCCAGGCTGGAAGTCAAAACACAGCACTGCACCAGCTACCAAGAAAGAGAAAAATTGACTGCTACTGCTAAACCCAGGACAGTATCTACCCCTTATTCCATACCATTCATGTCATGCTTGGATCCCACATTTTCAATATACCATTGCTCTCCCACATACATACATCCACATACATACACAGACCGAGAGAAAGATCATTTTCTTAGTGCATGGACCAATCCCTATAATGCTGAGTCCATTCGGTCCATGATGTCAGGTTCCATCTCTTGTAACAATATTTCACGACAGGAAAGGCTGTGGGCAGCATTGGATCGTTGCCTGCTGATGCTGATTGTTCCTTTACTGCAGAACTCATCTTGTTCTATCATTCTCTGTTGGGATGATGGTTGGATGGAAGTCAGGGCTATTTGCTGGTGACCTGAAGACATCTAGTTGATGGGCTATAAAAGTATTACACAGCAGGCAACAGCATACAATTAAGTTCATTGGCTGTTTTCCCCTAAAATCAAATACCCTTGAGGTATACATCGGACTTCCCCATCTTCCCGCATTACCCACCAAGTATATCCAGGTCCCTGAGCAAAAGCAATCCCACGAGTGGGTTTGCCTTTACCTGAAGCAGGAATAACCCAGACTGTCTGCCCTAGCAAATTCTTCATATGCACCACAGGAACTTTATCCCCCTCTACAATATGTAACAGTTCTGACTGGGCTGGGCCAGCCCTGTTGGCAGATCCTCTGGTGTTGACCAACCAGGTGGCTTTTGGTAACCGTGTATCCCAATGCTTGAAAGTTCCCCCACCCATTGCTCTCAGTGTAGTTTTTAACAGCCCATTGTACCGTTTGATTTTCCCAGAGGCTGGTGCATGGTAGGGGATGTGATATACCCACTCAATGCCATGCTCTTTGGCCCAAATATCTATAAGGTTATTCCGGAAATGAGTCCCATTGTCTGACTCAATTCTCTCTGGGGTGCCGTGTCGCCACAAAATCTGTTTCTCAAGGCCCAGGATAGTGTTCTGGGCAGTGGCGTGGGGCACAGCTTGTGTTTCCAGCCACCCGGTGGTTGCTTCCACCATGGTAAGCACGTGGCGCTTGCCTTGGTGGGTTGGTGGCAGTGTGATATAGTCAATCTGCCAGGCCTCCCCATGCTTGTACTTCAACCATCGTCCTCCGTACCAAAGAGGCTTTAACCGCTTGGCTTGTTTAATTGCAGCACGTGTTTCACACTCGTGAATAACCTGGGCAATAGTGTCCATTGTTAAGTCCACCCCTCGATCACGGGCCAATCTCTATGTTGCATCTCTGCCCTGATGGCCTGAAGTGTCATGGGCCCACCGGGTCAAAAATAATTCACCTTTATGTTGCCAATCTAAGTCCATCTGAGCCACTTCAATCTTAGCAGCTTTATCCACTTGTTGGTTGTTCTGGTGTTCCTCAGTGGCGTGACTCTTGGGTACATGGGCATCTACATGGCATACCTTCTCCACCAGGTTCTGCGCTCGGATATCTTTCCACAGTGCAGCAGCCCAGATGGGTTTACCTCTGCGTTGCCAGTTGCTCTGCTTCCATTGCTTCAACCACCCCCACAGGGCATTTGCCACCATCCGTGAGTCAGTATAGAGGTAAAGTACTGGCGACTTTTCTCATTCAGCAATGTCCAGGGCCAGCTGAATGGGTTTCACCTCTGCAAACTGACTCAATTCACCCTGTCCTTCAGCAGTTTCTGCAACTTGTGGTCAAGGACTCCATACAGCTGCCTTCCATCTCTGATGCTTTCCCACAATACGGCAAGAGCCATCAGTAAACAAGGCATACTGCTTTTCACTTTCTGACAGTTTATTATATGGTGGGGTCTCTTCAGCACACATCACCTCCTCCTCTGGTGACATTCCAAAATCTTTGCCCTCTGGCCAGTCCATGATGACTTCTAGAATGCCTGGACGACTGGGATTTCCTATTCAAGCTCGTTGTGTAATTAGTGCAGCCCATTTACTCCATGTAGCATCAGTTGCATGATGTGTAGAGGAGACCCTGCCTTTGAACATCCAGCGCAGGCATCCAGGGTGCCAGGAGGAGCTGTGCTTCAGTGCCAGACACTTCCCAAAGCAGCTCGAAACCCTTCATAGGCTGCCAGTATCACTTTTTCAGTTGGGGTGTAGCTGGCCTTATCATTGTTGTCGTTGGTGGTAGCGGTGGTGATTTGTGTTGTGCATTGTTTGCTGGACTGTTCTTGTCTCAACCCATGGTAGTTGAACTCTTTTGATTCTCTTCCCCATCCCTCCAGGAGTGGGGAAGGGGAGAGCTTTTGGGGGGGGGGGGGGGGGTGGGTGGACACGGACCTCGATTGCTTTCAGCCCAGCACCACTCACTTGGAGTGAGTGAACGAGTTGCCTGACTGGGTTTAAACCATGACAAACAGCTATTGATCCATGTTGGGGGGTGGCTAATAACCTGCTTGCATATTAGACTTGTAGAATTAGGGTGCTCAATGAGTCATTTGTTCAAAATAGACTCTTTTATATGAGTTTTGACATACTCTAAAATAATGAGAAAACCTAAATGCTCAAGCTTGATTCTTTTCCACAGTTTTTCTTCCCCATGTTTATTCCTCTTTTTCCTGTTTATAACAAGTTCTATGTATGAAGAGTGTGATTCTCATGGTGAGAATTAGTATTAATACTGTAAAACTTTCCTTGTAATTAAAACTTAAAAGTATTTATGTTGCTTGGGACCTATGCTAAACAGAGCTTTTACTTAGGAGTCTTCATCTGTTTGTTATCTTGGCTACAAAAAAACATTCTGGAACATGCAGCCTCGTGCTTGGAGAATTCTGTGTGACTCCAGTCTCCATAGCTGTCTGCAGTATGTCTCTGATTAATTCTGTGTATGGGCACAGTTTTAGTTGAAATGTGCTTTGCCCCCATTAATTTAAACATGGTGGCATTACTAGATGCCCATGGGATGCTTCCTGGCCCGTACTGTTCCTGGGAAGGAGTGAAGGAATAGTGGCTGTTTACAGAGCTTAGTTTACGTGGTTGGCATGACTCCACAGAGTATGGATAAAGGGGCATGGGACAAATAGATGGTTGTATATAACAGATGGGGATAGTTTGCCTGCTGGAAGAAACTGCAGCTTGTATATTTGAAGGAAGATCATCTGTAGTAAATAACCTTCTTTACCTGAGAAAATATTTATCTTTGGGCAAGGGGACGAATTTGACTTATACAGCTTTTGTGCTTGGATTAACCTGATATTTAACAGGTTATGCAGCTCAGATTACTTAATCTGTGTTACTTTATCAAGCATAAACAGTCACTAGAGGAGGACAATTTGGGTTTTTTCTCTGCTTCAGAGAGATCTGCTTATAAATTTAAGGTATACCTTGTATAATGTTAAAAACCCTAGAGTGGTATACAACTAGAAGGGGTGAAATCTCTTTATTGTACACTCAAGTTCTGCTGAATAGAATTTACGCATTCTGTCAAAAACAGTTTACAGGTGGTAAAGTCATGGACTTGAGTCAGAATACAGTTTCCTCATCACCTAAAATAATGCTGACAGTGTCTTATGTTGAGAAGGATGGATCCATTCCTGCTGCTACTTTTGTGGAGGCACTTGTGTTCATGCACTTGCCCTGTGATTATATGGTTCCTAACTTGTTAG